TAGCTCATTGTGAAGGTCCTAGTTCAATCCACAGGGGCATAAATCAAAAAGCCCTCGCTAGTCCAAACTGGAGTCAGGATTTGAACCCAGTTCTGACAATCACTTCACTCTTAGCACGAACTCTCTCTCTTGCTCCCTGGTACCGCACACCAGCCACTCACCATCCACATGAGCCACCACCCGAGAGCACAGCTCCAAAAATCACCCGCTCCTTACCAAGAAAGGTGGACTGTGAACCTGGCTTGATTTGGGCTATAGCAATCTTTTTCATTTTGTGGTACTGTGGATTGAATTTAGGGCTTTTGCACTGAACTACTTTCCTAACCCTTAAAAAGTTTTTTTTTTTGTTGTTGTTGTTGTTCTTATATTCTAGATAGGGATTTGCTACATGACCCAGGTGGGGCTTGAATTTGCTGTCCTTCTGCCTCAGCCTCCTAGAAAGCAGGGATTATAAGTACAGCATGTGTCACCACAGCTGGTATAATTGTTTTTCATGTCACTTTGGAAGGAAATGCTTTTATTTAGTAAAATCAAATTATTTTTTCCTTCCAAGATATCTTTATTAGAAAGAGTCACAATCACCTCAGCAGAGGGCCTTCTGCGAAGGAAAGAACCAGCCAGCTGGGGCTCTAACAGCCCCCTTGTGTTTTATGTTTATAACTCTGGCACAGCGTTACTTACAATAAATGCATTGCCACGTGTGTGACTGTTCTGAGGTGAAATCTGTTCTTTCAAGGGCCGTTTAATACTATCCTTAATTTTAAATGTACATCCCCACTAACTTAGCAATTGCATGGCAGAGAAGTTATCCCACAGATAAACTCATAAATTAGACAACAATATACAAGTTGAACATCCCTACTCCAAAAAGCTAAAATCCAAAACTTTCCTAGTGCTGACACGACAAGACAAGGAGAAAATGCCACAACTGACCTGTGACAGATTACAGTTAACACACAGCTGGCCTGAGAATGTAGCCCCGGGGTAAAGCACTTCCCTAGCATATGCTATTGGGTCCCCTCACCAAGAAATAGATATACAGATAGGCAGAAAAACAGACGTCTATATGTATATACATGGATAGAAATATATTCATGTACATATACATATACATATGTATACAAATTTTCACAGAATATTCCAAAACTTAAAACATTTTCAGTCCTAAGCATCTTAGATAAAGCATATTCAATCTGAAACCTTGAATATTCCTAGCTATTCCCTGAAACACTATATATAAGAAATAGTGCCATAAACCTGGTATATTTTAATAAGTGATTGAGAAAGGTATCATACTTCCATATAAGAGAGTACTACACTGCAGATAAAAAAATGCCAAAATCTGTGATGCAGAAAGATAGCCAAGATATTATAATTAGGTAAAACAATTAGTGTACAGAATGCTGACATTTGCATAAAATTTTAATTTAGAAAATTTCAGAATGCTATACAAAAATACATTTGCCATGACTATATGTAGAAGTGTGGGAGGATGAGAGAAAGGGAAATAGAGCAGAAAGCGATGCCATCTGGAGACCTGGAGTGACCATGATGCCCCTGGGGGCCGCAGCCACCAGCCCTTTCTGAGACTCTTGACATTTGCTGTGTGCTTTGCCAGAGGAGGGGCAGAAGTACAGTCATCACCCCACTTCATCCATGGCTGATGGGTGCCAGGCACCCTGTGGACCCTAAAATCTGCAGGTGTTCATGTGCCTTACATACAATGGCATAGTACCTGCAAATAACCCATATACATCCTCCTACAGACGTTTAATCTTCTCTGGATGACTCCTAATTCTCATGCAAGTGCATACAATCAGTTGTTACAATGTATGGTTTAGGGACTAATGACAAGTGAAACACCAGTGTGTGTTCACAGATGCAATTTAAAAAATATTTCCAATCCATGGTATACTAAATTCAAAGATACGGACTCACACCACAGAAATGTAATCAACATGGCGAGGCCAAGTCTGCAGGAGTGAGAGGGTCAGTCCTACAGTGCTTTCCTAGGGGCTTTGACGAGGACGGGACCCGGCTCCCTGATGCCAGCCAGTGGTGCCCAGGCTCCCTTTTCAAGAATGCTGGGCAGCTTCTGCCTCCACCCTCCGGATCACTATGATGTGCTTCCAAATTCTTCCCTTCCCATTCTTGAACTCCGTTTTTTTTCTCATGTGGACACGGGGAATACAATTAAAGGTCAATGATGATGCTGAGAAGAACCAGGGAGCAAAGGGCCAATGTGAAAGCCAGGCAGGCTTCTCCCAGGCACAGGTAAGCTCTAAGATCTCCCGAGACCCTGAGCAAATCACGTTTTGACCTAGTAAGGAGACACGGCAATGATACAGAAGTTTACAATCACTACTTTGAGTCCTAGACAGACAGTGAGTTTCTTTAAAAAGAAATTACACAAAAATAGAAAAAAAAATGGGATAAGTTTCTCCATTATAGGCTTCTTGGTTGTGCCAAGGATTAGCTGTGCCACAGAGCAGGCTCCTTAACATCTTTGGTCATATTTGCTATAAATAACCATCATCAGATTTTGTCAGGCACTATGCTAAACTTTTCAAACCCATCATCTCAGCTAACTTTCCCTGAAAGGTAAGGCATCCTGTCTTCCTTGTCAGCTAGATGAGCTGTTGTGCAAGTTACTGAGACTTCTTATTTATAAAACAGGGCCAGTAATATTAACATCTGCTCCAAAGGGATCTTGTAATATGAGAATTCCTAGGATGGCTTCAGCAAGTCACCCAGCAGAAGTGCTCACCACCCATTGGCTATTCTCTCTTGTCCCATTTTACAGATGGGAAAACTGATACTGGGGGAGGCCAACATCCACGATTTTTAAATTTTCTTATCACCTTCTAGTGGATTGAAAATCAGCCTTGGTTTCCCAGAAAGATCTAATGTACATGTGATTTTAGAATTACACAGTGAGGCTTGAAGCATAAATCCTACCCATTTAGATTCAATGCACAGAGGAAAGGAAGAGATAATTTGTCATCAAAAAGTAAAATTTTCAAGTAAAAAGGAATAGGAAAAAATAATTTTTCTTTCCTCCCAAGTATCCTTTCCTCTGGGCTCCTCCACTGGTTCCTGCCAGAGAAGGACAAGGCAGAGGACTCCCCAGGGCCTTGGCCAGCAAGGCTGCAGTGTGAGCCTGGGTAATTGGTGAGGGGGCTGGAGACGGCCTCATGGAAAATGCTACCATACATGGGCATGTTTGCTTCGATCTCAGCCCTCCCACAGAAAAGTAATGATAAATCCATAACAAATACCTTGTACGGAATAGCATGTCTATTTTAGACATGATAATAAAAGATGGTATTTACCAGGCAAACCCAGGAGGCTGCTCAAAGGAGACCTGGCAAGTTCACATTTTGGGGTTTGGGGATGGCAGCCCACCTCAGATCATCACCCCTCTAAGGAACAAACAGTGCTTCTTATTTTAAATAGGTGATGCTTAGTTTAAGTTTTCTTCAAAGAGATGCTGATAAATATTTACTTTGCTGGAAGCATTTGCTCTTAACAGAGACCCGACTCCAATAAGAAATTTTGTCCTCAGTAAAGCAAAAAAAAAAAAAAAAAAAAAAAAAAAAATGGTAAGGTAAAGGGTATAAACTTGGCATCAGACTGACCAGGAAATGGGGCCAGTCATTTACTAACTGTGTGACCCTGGACAAGGACTTCACCTTTCTGAGCCTTATATATTAAACAAGCATCATTAGACATTGATTGCAATGATGAAATGCGATCACTCAAGTTAAATGCTGCTACAGGACCTGTCACTTAAGTGTTCCATCAACAGTAGCTATCTGGGAAAGAAGGTAGCAGGAAAAGGTTTTTCCTTGCAAAGATACTCAACCTTATTTTACATCCTGCCATCTATGATTTCAGTTCAGCATCTTCCAGCTTGCTTTCTTTAAACCAACTTTAAATCAGCAGCTTATGTAAACCAAACAAATGAAGAAGTCTAGAGAAAAACAAAACTACATGAAGCCATTTCTTCAGTCAGCCTGCATCCCTTTGCCAAGTCCTGTCCAATTCACAATGTAGTCTATCAGCTCTTAATGCTGTAACTAAACACTTTCTACTTGGGTATCTAAACATGCCAAAATTCCGGCAGCTTTCTGTGCTAGGAGCAGCCACACTTTCCTTTGGTCCTCTGTGTCCCCACAACAGCAATTTTGTACTGATGACACTGGGAGAAGCCAGCATTATCTTACCAAATGCACCTGTAGGTAGCAGGCACAAATGGGGAGCTTGGCATTCATCTGGATATCTGGGGCCCCTGTGGTCAAGCTGGATGAGTTTTAATTTATTCATTCATTTCAATTCAGAGGCACTGGGTCTGGAAGAAAACTGCACTGTAATAAACCTTATCTACGGGTAAGCAGCCAATCTCCCCAGGGTTATCAACATGTGTGATGAAAAGGCTTCTCTGCTGAGTGTCCCGCCCTAGGGTGCTTTTTAACACATTCTCCGAACAGCTGAGCAGATGCTTTGAAATCCACTGCAGCCTCACTTTGTGTGCCTGCATATTAGCAAAGTGACTTTTCAGCAAAGCGAAGTTGCACTTTTTAAATGCCTAGAATTAAAGTGAAAAGGCCTGACGGTCCAAGTCAGACCACCTCATAACAAGAATATTCTGGGAATCTTGGGTACTTTTGATTTGTTTTTCTCAGGCTGGTGCTGTACCACTAAGCTACATCCCCAGCCCCTGCCCTTTATTTTTAAGTGCAAGGTTTCTGTTTTGTTTTTATTTGTTTTCCCCTGGAGTTTCTAGCAGCACTGGGGTGGCATCTGTCATATGCTCACGCCAGGGTTACTTCTCATTGCTCGGGAAATGCTGGTTTAGAGGGAACTCTGGGATGAGCTGGGATAATAAAGGACCTCACCACAGTTTTTATAAGCGGATGACAAAGATCTGTAGAATGTCCTGCAGGACTCTCAAACCCACCACCCAGTCTGCCCCAGCAGGACCCCTAGTACTTACAGACCTCCAACTGGGGGCGCTGACGAGAAGGAACTGGATGGAGAGCTCAGATCTGGCACACCTCCCAGGCCAGGGCGTCCAAATCTCCCCTCCAGTCTGGGACTCCGGGTTTTATAGACTCGAGCAGTCTTGGGGGTGGGGGTGAAGGTGGGGGCAGCCTCGGGGGCGGGGCGGGCGGGGAGGGTCCAGCGCTGAGCCCTTCACTGCCCCCTGCAAGGCACCGGCCCCCTGCAAGGCAAGCCGGTTTTGCCCAGGGTCCGGCGCGCGCTCTTGGTGCTGCAGGCGCTCGCTAAAGGGCTGAGGGCGCACCCAGCCACCCCTCACCCGGGCTGTCACCAAGATTCGGGGTCCCTAGAGGAAAAAAAAGAGTGGAGCCCGCAGCGTCTATAGGGGATGCAAGAATTTCTTGCCTGAGCCAATTCCAGACGTATGGGCTTTATTTAACCCCTTCCTGCCGGAGCTGGGACAGTGGCGGATCTGACTCGGTGCCTCCTTTCCTGGTGTCATTTTATTCGCCTGCTGCTGTCTAGAAAGTGGGGCAGCCTTGTTGTGGGAAGTGTAAGGAAAGGGGATCTTTCAGAACTTCTCAAAGGGCCAGGCAGGCGTCCCGCCGCACCCCGACTGCTGGGAACTGTGCGGGAAGGGAAATTTTTTACTTTTCCCAGCTTGCCAGCCCCACCTGCACCCATGCCACCGCAACCGAAATTAAAATGAGCAGAAGTCGCTGTTGGCACTCCAGCACCACCACCAGCACCCCTGTCTCCGGGTGTGTGCCTCGCCAGCCGCGTGAACTCGGACAAGTCACTTCGCCGCCCGCAGCTCAGTGTCCACTGTGCCAAAGAGGGGCGCGCGGGCGCGGGGAGGGGAGTCGTTATGCATTTGGCGAGGTGCGGGTCAGAACCCGGGAGGACGAGTGCCCGAGGAGGACTCCGCCGGCCAGTGCTCCCCTCCCCAGAAACCCCGAGAGGGGGCAGCCTCTCCCTCTCCGTCTCGAGCGCACCCTGTGTGCGCGCCCTGTGCGGCCGTCGGCGTCCCCGTCTCTCCTGCGGGACACTCTCCGTCACCGCCTCGCCCCCTCCCTCTGCCCGTGTGTCCGTCTGTCCCTCTGGCCATCGCTGCCTCTACCTTCTGCAGCTGTCACCCCATCTTTGGCCCCATGTCTCACTATCTCTGGTCGCTGTCTCTGTCTCGCCGTCTCCTCCCTGTCCCTCTCCTCTCTGTCACACACGCACACACAGGCCATAAAAGGCAGTCGAGGCAGCGGGCTGGCCCCGCTCCAGGCCGGGACGCCGGCTTCCCGCTCCGGGTGCGGACCGGCTCCGAGGTTCCTGGGCCCGGCCCGGCCGGCCGGTCCTCCCTCCGCAGGCGCTGGGCGGGAGACAACCCAAAAAGGCCAGGCGCGGTTCCTTCCTACAGGAATTCCCAGCGCCACATACCAGCCGGGGCTGCCCGCTCCCCCTGACTAAATATGGTGCGAGCCGCCTCGGGTGCTGCGGGCTGGGGACGCGACCTTCATCCCGCGCTGGCCCACAGGATGAATTTTCGAGTATTCCCTGCAGATGCAATGGTGGGGTGACAAGAGTCCTCTCTGCTTGGAGCAGAGCTGGGTGGGAATGGACAGCCCCTCCACACCCCTGTAGGTCCCTGCTGCTTCAGCGATTTGGGGGACAGAGTTAAAGGAGCTGGGAAGAGCCAAGCCAGGCTTTGTACTTTGCATCCACCCCTCTTCAACAACCCTGCCCCTTGCAACCACATCTTTAAGAATATCCCCATTTTGCAGGTGAGAAGACTGAATCCCAGAGGAATTCGTTGGCACCAACATGAACTGACCCTAGGACTTTCTGATGCCATGGTTCACTTCCAGGGCTGGGGTTGTAGTTCAATGGTAGAGCATTTGCCCAGCATTCATAAGGCCCGTGGCTTCATCCCCAGCACCTGTTTAAAAAATCGTAATCGAGAATTGGGGTAGGGTGTTTTTCAATGGTAGCGCTCTTGCCTATCATGCTCAACGTCCTGAGCTTCATCCACAACAAAGCAAAAACAAAAAAACAAGGCTAGGGGTGCCCACCTGTAATCCCAGCCCTCTGGAGGCTGAGGCAGGAAGAATGCTGTGAATTCAAGGCTAGTTTGGGTCACAGTGAGTTCAGGACCAACCTGAACTGCATCGCAAGATCCTGTCTCAAAAAACAAAACAAACAAAAACAACCCTCCCCTAAAAGCAAAACAACACATCCCATGATTTACTTCTAGACAAGAGGCCTTCAAGGATAATGGCCAGGTGAAGACCCTGGACAGGATTCTCAGGTTAGATGTCTGACTTTGGATCTGCCAGTGTCACTTTCTATGACAACGGGCAAATAACTGTCTATTTGTGCCTCTGTTTCCCTACTTATTAAAGGGAATACCAGCTACTTCCTGGCTTTCTGTAAGCAGTCCTTCAAGTGGTGTGAAAGGCACATACAGCACTGCTTCATGTTAGCTGCTGTCTCAACAAACATGAAGCCCAGCCAGGCTGCACCAGGCTTGGGACAACCCTGTCTAGCGGTTCCTGCCGCCTCTGGACCTCTCTGCATCACAGTCCGGCTTGGCCCCTTCATCCCTCCACTCAAGTTCACCTGGTTTTTATCCTTGAAAGCATCTGAGGCCAGCTCCTCCCTCCAGGGGGCCCAGATCAAACAGCCCAGAACAGCCAGGATTCAGCTGGCTGGGGAAATGGGTGGTAAAGCTCTTTGGAAAGTGATAAATGAGCTGCTTTCCCACATGCCTTTTCACATCTACACTGTAAAAGGAGTGGAAATTGTCCTTGCATTCACGGAGAAACAAAGGATGGGGCAAAGACTGAAGCTGATCATCCTCTTCACCCTGAGCAGCTGCCCCAATCTATTTGCTGGCCTAAAGGAAGAACAGGCGTTTCCACCACAGGCCTTAACCTTGTTACTTGCACAGAGGTTATAACTGATTGTTTAAAGAACTTGTTGGTAACTTTAGAAAGAACGTTATTAAGTGGAGACTGCAGCAAACACTCAGTTTTACTGCATTCTCTCATCTAATCCTTCTAATATTGGTACAATATAGGTACAAGTTTAGAGAGGGTATATCAAATGTTCAAGGTGGCACAGGCATTAGTCTGGGAGCAGGCATTCCAACCCAACTGTCTGACACAGAGGCTCTAGTAATAGACAGAAGTCGGAGATTTTTAACCCTAGATCTGCTAAGCACCAGAGAACAACTTCAGAATTATCGGTTAACTTCTGAGCCAGTCTTCTCAGAAAACCAAAGATCAGACTCTGCCTCAGCCACTTGGCAGGGTTAAGTGAATTTTAAGGCCTTCTATAAACCATTTCATACCTCTCTGGCATGCTGTTCGGGTATCCATAGAAGGTGTGTTCAGTGAACAGTCATCCAATAACTATCTCTCTCATATACAAGATTCAGATGTTTGAATCCTTAGGAGTGTTTTGTTCTACAAGTTAAATCAGATGCCTGTTTTACTTCTCATGCTCAAAAGGTCTGTTGTTTCGAGGCTTTTGCAGAAAACTTCACAAAATGTCACTTTGACTGAGTGCTGTGAAATAATTTTCCTTTGCATGTCTTTTCTATGGGGGACTGATTAGTGAGAATTTCCAAAAACTCATGAAATAAAATGGCAGAGGGGAATTTTCTCTCCTGGAGTCTTTTTAAAAAATCAAATAGCTCTTTATTTGCTCCAAAAAGCCCCCAAGTGTGAGCCCCTCCAATTTTTAGTACTGACAAAGGTTGAATCCAAGCAGGGTTTATTCCTGCGTGTACTCTGGGATTTCATTACTTAAATGTGTACCAGCTCAAATGAACTAGCTCAAGTCCATCTAGCCCAAGACCTGCCACTTTACAAAGACAGAAACACAATTTCTGATCACAACCACAGCTCAGCACAACTGTCTGTACAGGACCACGTCTGTTTCATTCACAATGGTCTCGAGCTTCTCCAGATCCAAGACGGCATCCCAGTTACCTGCAATGCACCTTCCTTCACCACCATTTTCCAATCCAGTCTCAGCAACTACAGATTTTCTCTGGAAGGGTCCTAAATTCTCACTAAAACTAGTTTTACAGGGTTTTTGTTTCTGTTTTTTCTTGGGGATTTCCACAAGGGAGTTGAAACCATGTCTGTCCACACAAAAATCTGCATATAGATGTTTACAGCAGCTTTAAATTTGCCAAAACTTGGAAGCAACCAGGACATCCTTTGATAGGTAATGGCTAAATAACAGTAGATTATTATTCAGGGCTAAGAAGGAATGATCTGTCAAGCCATGAAAACTTGAAAGACTCTTAAACGCACATTCTGAAGTAAGAAACGAATCCTGAAAGGCTATCTATGGGACAATTCCAGCTATACAATATTCTGCAACAGACAAACAGCAGAGCACAAAGGATTGTAGGGCAGCAAAACTATGCTGTGTAAACTATAGTGGCAAATAAATGTCACTATACATTTGTCCAGAACTATGAAATGGACAAGAGCAACACCTAATTAACTATGGACTTCACTGTAGTCAGCCACTGTTACAAATGCACCAGTACAGGATGTTGGCAGTGTAGGAGGCTGCACACATGTGCAGGGACGGGTAGATGGGAGTCCTGTACTGTCTACTTGATTTAGCTGTGTGCCTACAACTGCTCTAAAAATAAGATCTATTTTTAAGAAGGTAATTTTAGCCCAGTGTGATGGCACATGCCTGTAATCCTAATACTCAGGAGGCTGAGGCAGGATTGCCTCAAGTTCAAGGCCAGTCTTGGTTACATAAGTGAGTGTACCCCATTTTCCTTTAAAAAATTCATGAAGACCACATAATCCTTGCATAAATAGCTGTTACAAGATGGAATACCAAGTGGCTGGGAATATTGTCCTAAATGCCTTTAAAGGCATATTCTTGCAACTGTTAAACGTTCATGTACACTTGGCTTTAGATTAAGAGAACACATCAAGTTTACATAATTATATAGGCATGCAAGTCCTATACAAACATGTCCTTGGATATAATTATAAAGCTATTAATTTATTTTATGCAAACATATATACTATGCTTCAATTTGTCATCTTCAAAAGCTATCTCTGAGCCTGTTAAGAGCTTTTAGATTTCCCAGATTTTAAATCTCCACCTCTCCTGAACCCTTCTTTCATTCCAGTTCCCATACTATTTTTATGGAAATCCAAGGTTTGTTTTTTTTAAACTTCTCTAGCACTTCCAGACAATAATCTCTCCCAACTTCCTCCTCCCCTTCCAAGACTCCAGCAAGGTAGTAATACTGAGTTTGAGAATAGCTTGATGAGTCTTCCATATTTTTACATCCCTCCTTGTACATACCTGTATGAAGTCTTTTTATTGTTTTATTTTATTTTTGGTACTGGGAATGGAACTCAGGACACTGCACTTTCCAGGCAGGCACTGTGTCACTGAGCTATACCCTAGCCCCTTTTTATTGTTTTAAATGTCTCGGCCCATATACTTTTTAAAGTGATTTACACTGTTCATAAATCCCAAGTTTCTAGGACAGACTTTCTCAACTTTGAAAGAACATTGTTTTTTTTTTTTTTTGGATAATCATAAAAATCTTGTAGTGTTCTCAAAATCGGTTTTTGTTTTTCCACTTTCTTTTTAAAATGACAGATTATCATACCTTGCCCACAGGGACTGATCACAGGAGACCCCATGACAGCCAGCCTAAAGAGTCCCAAGGTGATATGGCTGTCGCAAGGTGACATGGCTGATGCCAAGTACACATATACCAAGTCCAATTCCAACAGTGAGTTTTCTGAGGACCTCAACCAAAAGGCCTGGAGAGCCATCTCCAGCCCTCTTTCTGAGTCTGAATGACAGAATAGTAACACAAACAACCTTTGCAAAAAGGTAAGTTGCTTAGTAATTTTTATTAAGTGATGCACTGGAAGTATAAAAGTTGCCTAGGCACAAACAAGTTACAGAATGATGTATACAAAAGCACTGTGGACTACAATGTGACGATTCTAGTTTTCATGATGATGGTTTTGTATCAGTATCCAACACCGTACAATCCAGCATTTTTTCTTAATCTAGTCCTACATGATTGCGATTCCTGAGGTAAACTTAGTGTCCGCTGCCAACATCCTTGGATATAAGCCAAGTCCTCGGAAAATTCAGATAGATTCCCATATACAATACAATGCAATTCATAATTGTAATCAGAAATGGGTCCTTAAAAAACTCTGCATCTATATATAAAATGTAGATGAGCTTCTCAAAAATCTTTTGACTTGTTTAAAGCAGTATCATTAATATTTTTTGGAGCTGGGAGTGTGCCTCAGTGGTGGGAACACTTTCCTAGCATGCTCAAGGCCTAAGGTTCAATCCCCAGCAGCACAGAAAGTAACAATAGCAATAATTTCCCCATTTAGATAAAAATTCTTAAATCTGAGTGGAATGATACTAACTAGCATCAAAAGTTCCCCTAACTTTCAAAGTCAGGCCAGCAGAGCAGAACTCTGCGCTTGCCACTCTTGTCAGTTTTCTGGCTGGTGCTGCTGCATTCTTAATACAATCAGCACTGTCTACTACAACAGCTGGCTCGGAGAAGTGAGTCTGTTGACTCTACATTATAAAACTTTCCTAAGAAATATCAAAGGCATTTAGAGATAGTACTGGAGAAGCTCTTAATATGTTTCAATTCTGAGAATGAAAACTGAGGTTTAATCAGCCTTTCAGAGCCGGAGAAGAGGAGCCGGCCGTTCAGAGTGCATCAGTAACTGTAACACCGAGGGAGGGCTGGGGGAATTAAACAATGCCATCTATTAAAGTTACTCTCTGGTGTTTCTCCCCAAGCCTGTCTCTTCATGTGTATTTCACATTCTTTACATAATAAACTCTTTGTTTTACTTACAGCAAAATTAAAAGAATGACTTCCCTCTCTACCTTTTAATTAAATCTTCTACTAGAAGCCAAAATGGTCTAAGGAAAGAAAAGAACATTGTTACCTAGTTTAAAAGTTCAACTTTAGGTAGTAATTCAGCTATTTCAGCCTAATTATGAAGAGTTTAATGAAAATAGCTACATTTAAAATAAGTCAAACTTTACAGGAATTAAGGTTTTTCTGGTTATAATGTTCTTTTAAATGTCTTTTTAAACCATGAATGAATTTTCCTACAAAAACACATAATTCCAGTTGAAGAAAATTTGATTAAAAAAATAAAAAAAGATTAAAAAAAGAAAATGTGATTAATGTGCCACGTCAGAGAACAAAACACATGGATAAAAATCTTTGTTAGAAGAATGTACAGAGATTATTGAAAAACTTTCATTTTTCATGAACTTAAAGATCTTTAAAATATTTCCTGAAAACAATGTATTTTCTCTCCAGTCATATCCAGTAAAGCAGATGACAGCTTTTATTCACAAATGCAGTGAAACATGGGGCCCTAAGTGCTTTGTAGAAACTCCAATTTCTACAAAATATAAATAATAGTGCACATTGCTAACATTGAGACAATAAATAAGTTATTCAATACCATAATGTTAAGATAAAAGATGCCCCTAGTGGATACGTCATCTCTTCACTGTTTGGGAAACATGAAGCTCTTCAATATTGGTGTTTGTTCCCCTCTCCTTTTCCAGGTGACCATCTGAAATGAACAGAAACCATACAGTCAAGTCAATGCGGTAGCTAGCAGATACACCTATATATATTTTAGAATATTTTATGAGTTCTGGAGGTGGCCTAAGGCAATGAAAAAACACTAATTCCTTAAACACCCTATAGAAAACCAGAAATATTTAGTACTACTCTAATTATTCAAAGTATTTGAATTGTTTTTTAAGTGAACAGAGCACAATCTGGAGTAAACTCATGTGTGCTGAGTTTCAAGCCTTTCTGATGTGTTAGGAACGGAATTCACACAAACCAACAAGGTGTTCACTCACTCTTCAGGCGGAGGGACTCAAAACTCAAGCAGAAAGCAAAACCTTCAAATCCTCTCAGTAGCACCCTCTTGTGGCAAGAAAAAAAACCCAGACTGTTTACACTTCCTACCAAAAAATGTGAAACTACCAGAAGAAATCGTGCGCAATGCTTTTAAAAGTCGAAAAAAGGGACAAAAGCTCCATAAGTGGTCAGGGGAGCTCAGAGCCTGTAACCACTCACACAGTGCTTCGGCAACAGCAAACATGGTCGCTTCCACTCAATTTTTTGTCATAGGAGTAAAAAAGGACAGAGTTGCTCTAGATTAAAGGAATCCAAAGACAATATACAAAGACAATATGAAATGCAAAGAAAAAACCACAGTCTTAAACTTATGTGGGGCCCTCAGTTTCCAAACACTTTTTTTTTCTTCTGGTTTTGGGACTCAAACTCAGGACCTTGAGCTTGCCAGGCAGGCGCAGTGCCACTGAGCTATATCCCTGGCCCAGCCTGCAAACACTTTAACAAGGGGAAAAAACTTTTTTTGTGTGACTATTTTGATAAAAGGAGACAAAGAATACAAATTTAGACAACCTATTAGGAAAGTTCAATTTTCACACCTAATTTTCTAATTCCTGAGACAGTGCCATATCCCACAAGGCTCTAAATCCTTTAGCAGCTCATCAGCTCCAGACTAAGATCATTTTCTAGGTGTAGATAACAAACAAAAATCTTTCCCCTATCAGTTTTGGCAACTTTGCTAACAAAAATTGACGATTTCCTTAGAACATGATGACTTTAGATCTTTTTTAGAAAAGTGTTAGTTTAGAACTAGTATTAAAAGCTGGTATTTATTTATTTATCTATTTTTTGTGGTACCGGAGATCAAACTCAGGTGTGTTCTACCGCTAAACTACACTCCCAGCTCCCAACTGCACAGGCTGGGCTCCAATTTATAATCCCTCTGCCTCAGCCTCCAAAACTGCTGGGATTACAGGTGTGTCCACTGCCAGAAGTCTCTTATTTTTGTACTTGATAGATGTACAATAAAATTGAGCTTATAAAGTATAAAGGTCTTCTCTATTATAAAAATCTCATTTCTTTTTTCCTCTCTTGTTCCTTTTGAATACTTAAATTTTTTACTTTTGTTATTAGTATACACTTGTAGTACATAATGTCTACATTCCTAACAGGACACTGGTACGTATACATAATACATCTTAGCTCCTTGTCTTCATCCTCTTCCCCTTCCTCCCCCTCCATCCATTTCTTTACCCCTTCCCTTTTTTGGTACATGTTTGCAATACACATTTACATTTCTTGTGTGGAGTTAGTACATGTAAAGCAAAAACAACTTTGCCCCCAAGATTACAAATGCTAACAGTAGCAGGACGACTGAATTGGCTATTATCTCCAAGGTGAATGTGCCTCTATAAAGCACTTTCATTTTTTTATCAGGCCTTTCAAAGGTTGCATGACGGAAGTATTTTCATCTTGGCGTGCTTCAGACTTATTTTCAAATAAAAGCATGCTTTATTTTACATATTTCATTTTAGTGTCATATGTTGCAACTGGGTAAGCTTATGTAGAAAGGTGCTGTGACCTGAATAATCATTTTATTACATTTCCAAGCTTCTTAGTACTGTCAAGTAAGAGTTACGCAGCTTCTGAAAGTAAGCCAGTGAGAAAGTGGAATGCTTACCCTGAAACATGATGCAAAACTTTGGCTGACAATGCTTCTCGTCATTGCACACTCTCACTGCACTATATACCAAGAAAATCTTTGATGACCAAGAAGATAATTTACAAGATCACTGTTATTATCCCACTGGTTCAGAAGTCACCCTCATCTCTTTGCTTTCCACAGAACCCAAAGCTGCTTTACTGATGGGAAGTCCTCTCTTGGACATCTCTGGCACTTCATATTATAAAGGTGTCTCTATCTCTCTGTGTCCTTCCCTCCCTTCCCATCTTTCCTCTTCCACCCCTTCCCTACCTGTGGTTTAAGGTTACAAGTAGCTAATCCGTGATTTTTATCATCTCAGAACAGAATTTGGATAAGAAACATTATTACTTCTAAGTTTCTTAATACAGTTACTAGCATAAATATTAAATGGATTGATTATAAAAAGCTTAGAAGCCAAACGTTATTTCTCAAGAGGTTATTTTTCCTTGTGGGACTAAAATCAATGTCTGGGATTGCTATGTTAATAAATATTAATGTGTCACCACTGAAAACTGAATACTGTCATGTATATTTTGGGTATAGAAACCGCTAAAGCCTTTTTGGAGGAGAATTAAATAATATGTGTTTTTAAATTTGCATTTGCTTTGAACTAGTCAGTCTACTTTGGGCACCTAAACACAACAAATACTTGTGTGTATGGACAAAAACACTATCACATTGTAATACTATCCAGGTAAAGAATTAAAACAAAACATCTGTAAAGCATGACTATAGCAATACCATGGAATGCTACACAAAGATCCACACACTGACAAGTTAAAAACACAAATTATAGGATATACAAAATAATGGTGCACTAAATAATGGTGTACTAAAATACAGAGAAATTCATTCCGAGTGATAGTCCCCAAAATGCTAACATGAGTACTTTCAAGGAAGGAAGAGAATTGTGGGCTTAGGGAGAGGTGAATAGAGAAAAGGATAAAAAGATCTATATATTAATTTTTTTGAGATTTATTCAAGTACTTGGAACAATTACTGTTTCATTTTGTATTTCACAAATGCAAGGCGCAGGGATTTATGCCTTACAAATTCTTGAAAGAGAACCTACAAGAGTTTTCCATAATCTTAGAAGGAGTCACATACAGGTAATGGCAGCTAGATGTGCTGACTGTTAATTACTATCTGCTGTGGGCCTGTAATGAGTCACTACTCTCTTAAGTCTTGGTTATCTCAACTGTAAATAGGTGGGAAAAATTTCTTTTCCAATGTTCCCTCCAGCTCAGAACACAGAAGGATAATTCCTAGTGAACTCAGAAATAATCTTCAAGAGAGAGGTTATCCTAATTTCATTTTCAGATCTTAAGAGACACCAAATATCTAATATGATCAAATATCAGTCAGATCAGCTTAGAAAATATACATTTTAGGTGGTTCCTAAACATTTATTTTAACATTCAACAGTTACAATTGTGGGGGTAGGGGTGCAGTTCAGTGGCAGAGCACTTGCCTAGCATGCATGAAGCCCTCCGTTCAATCTCCAATACCACACACACAAAAGTACATTTGTTCTGCTGATTAGATCTCTGAGCCCCGCTATAACCATCCTTGGTAGAAGACACGGCTGTCTCCCATGGTTGGAAACACTGGGCTATAATCCACTCAATCCACGTGATCAAACTTAGGTATTATGACTGATATGATCAAGAAAAACGAAATCTCATTTTAGAAGTAAGCTTTCTAAAAACAAAGTATGGGCTGTTCTCTTAAGAGTCTACTATTTGTGACTAACTACCAGCTATCATTAAAAAGTACCCTGAAAATGCAAAGAACACAAACATTCCTTTTCCATCTGTATTCAGCAATCTTGTCTTTTATTTTCAGCCTTTGGAAAAAGTGATTATTTGATTAAAAACTATATAGAATGTTAAGGATTATGACTATAAATTTATGTGAAAATTAGGTTTTTCAAAACATTTATATAGAAATTTTATCTAAGAATTTTTTTCCAGCATATCTGCTTCTTTTAAGATTTTTTTTTCCAAAGAGCACTATTTTTGGAAGTTAAGTAAAATAAGCTTACTATACTAGATATAAGCAGAATTAAACTGTGACTCAAAAGCTCAGGAAGAGGTCCTCCAAAGGTAAAAGTGTATAGCAAGCAAATATGCTTGCTAAAGCCAAATGAAGAAGCTCAGCAAACTCATACCCGCTTGCTTTCTTCCACTAGGCTGACTGCCAAGATTCAGGTTTGGAGGCTGAAGTGAAGCTTCTTTAAGGAAAGTGTTTTGGATGCCATCCTTGTTGCCATGCAAGAAGTGAGCTAAAATTCCATATAAAAGAGGTCTAAGATAGGGAGAAAGTAAAATAAAACAAACAAATTAACTTTGCATTTAAAAAAGTAGCTTAAAACATTTACTATTTATAAGTAAAATGGCCAAAATAATTCACTAGACTTTAAAAATATGTTTGATTACCTAAACTACAACCTGTTTATAGTCTTAAATTTAAAATTACCACGGACCTAGGGACACATATCTGTAATTGCAGCACTCTGGGAAACTGAGGCAGGAGGATCAAAAGTTTGAGCCCAACCTGGGCAACTTAGTAAATTAGCAAACTTGTCTCAAAAAAATTTTAAAAAGATTGGGGATATACCTCAATGAGAAGGTCCTGGATTTGATAATAAACCAACCAACCATAGAGAAAATATATTAACAGCTTAAAATTCATTTAAACTGAAATATACTTTCAATCAATTTATAGGAATTCAGCTTTTAAACTCCAAACCCAGGACAGTATTTCCAAATGCCTATCATGGTCTGATATGCAGCAGGTATTCATCCAGTAAATACTTGTTGACTAAACCATTGCCCACAGATGTGCTCATTTCCTAGAATCTAGACTGCCTGGGGTCAAATCTTGTCTTTGCCACTCGCCAGCTATGGAGCCTTAGGCAAGACTTTTAACCCCACCAACTTCATAATAAATGTTTCTTCCTCTATACATGGGAATAAGCATAGACCCTATGCCACAAGGCTTTTAGGCAGTAAGTAAGTTAATAAATGTCATACTTAGTGCTGTGCTAAATGACAGCTACATGAGAGGGATAATAGTATTTGCAAAGCTTCCTCTCTGTTTTCCTCTTGGATCACTGGCTCTGAGGGATGGCAGAAGCCTCAGGTCTTGGTCAGTCCCATGGAGAGGCACCTGTAGCAAAAATCTAAGGCCTCCTCTGCAAACACTAGAGGGCTGTGCAGAAGCAGAACCACTAGCCCCAGCAAAGCCTGCAAAACTACATCTCTCAAGGCCCTGGACTATACTTATACAGGAGCCCATCTCCCAGGTATCCCACAGACAAAACAGGTTTGTCATTTTAAGCCACCAAATTCTGTAGTAATCTGTTAGGCAGCAAAGGAAAGCAGGAAAGTAAATTTCTCTAATATGATGCCTCAACTGCTAGGAAAGCATCATTTAGGAATATAAAATACGTCTTTAAGTCAGCCTTTTTATAGTGTCAATTGTTTCAAAGTAATTGCTTAGTTTTTAAATTTTAACATACAATAAAATCTACTTAAGTTGGGCTAGGGATTTAGCTCAGTGGCATAAGCATCTGTCTGACCAGCACAAGATTGTGAGTTTGATCTGTGGTACCAAAAATAAAATAAATAAATCTATTTAAGTTTTAAAATGTTTAAGAGTTACATATTTTATACTAGAAAATATGTAATGGTATAGAGGCCTAAATTTTAAAGATATTAAGGTATATTTTTAAAAAGCTTTTTAAAAGTTGGTAATTTACAGAAAAATACATCCTACTTGGGCATGGCGGTACACACCTGTAATCCCAGCACTTGACAGGCTAACACAAGAGGATCTCTGCGAGTTCAAGGCCAGCCCAGACACACAGTGAGTTCAAGGCAAGCATGAACTACACAGTGAGACCCTGTCTCAAAAAACCAAAAAAAAAAGAAAATCACCCTCACAATACCTTTCCTGCAAGTCTGAAAAGAAAAACCTCTGAAAACTAAGGCTATTAGGTAACTTATTATGTATGAAAATCTCACATTTATATTTTTAAAAATATAAATGTGATTATGAAGTGCCACTTTAGACCTCCTAGATTGTACAGTTGATATTTGTTTCAGGTACCAATTACTTTTTAAAATCTGAAACCCAGACTTTCAAGACACATCTGGCCTTGAGTGTTTTTGACAAAACACTGTATATTCGTACCAATAAAACAAGTAGCAGGTGGATATGGCAAAGTGTGAATATAAATCACTGAAGTCTGAGAAACAAGGGATCACAGTTGTCCAAATCTGTGGAAATAAAGCTGTCATCAACTTACTTTCAATACTCCCACCTGCAGCAAATACCTCAAAGCCCCCGAGAAGCCAGTAAGCATGTGACAGGTGTTTATTCCTAACAACTGCTAAATGCAAACTGATGCCTTCTATTTGAACAAGGCAATGTTTCACTACTCATCCCAGGCTCAATTCCTACAAGTTATTTTTCCCAGTGTTCTCGACCACCGTACTTATATATTTTGCCAAAGTGAAAAATCTATGCTTTTTAAAGTGTTACCTACTTTTTAACACTTAAGTATCTAAATACAGTGATTAATTGTACCCATGAACATCTACATGAATATCACATAGGTAGGATGTATCCCTATGAGATACTATGACAGACAGAAAACATTTCAGTCCCTTCTCTTAAAGATTACTGTGTAGTGGAAGAATAAGAAGAGAGTTAATTATAAGAAAGAATGAAATACAAAAATTTGAGTCAAATCTCGAAGAAACAGAGAAACTTAACTGGAAGAGAAAACTATCATGAAAGAATTAATATCTGAGCAAGAGCTGTAAGATGAACATGCTCCCACAGAAGTTAAGAGGAAGGAGAAAGTATTCTGGGCCAGGGAACAGTGTGTGCAAAAGCGAACAAGCATGAAGCTGCAAGGTGTCTTCATGGCATGATGTGTGAAATCTGATGACAGACCGAAAGACAGAGGCCTAAAAGACTGTGCAAAGAAGTTGGGACGATGCAGTCACTATGTATTTTTAAAATAATGCAGTAACTATCTTAGAAAGACAAGTTGGTAGGACAAAACATAAGTTGAAAAAGAAAGCAGCTGGAGATAAGCTAGTCAGAAAGTTTAAGAGCACAATAATGGGCTAGGAGATAGCACAGAGGCAGAATCAGTGGGATTTTAAAAGGGATTAGGTTAGAAAGGAGAATGAACCAAAGATGTACGTGAATTCTGAGTTTAAATCCTGAGTGGCTGTAAAAGGAAACTGTGGGGGGAAGTGAGGAAATGAACATAACATAATTGGTTTCTGGCCACAGTGGTTGAATCCGCAGCAGAAATATGGGCCTACAACTTGGAAGACGGCAGATTTAAAGCAGTTACCTAGCAGGCATCATTAAAGACCTAAAACTACTTAGAAAAGGAGGTGGGGATCAGGACAAATGGAAGTGGAGGGCAGTGGGAGTTCCTACAAATTAAGGAACACTAAAGGAGTCAACAAAGAGATGGCAAGCATCATTAGGGAAACAAAAAGACAGCAAACAGTCATAAATAAATGACAAAAAGCATTCTAAGGAAGAGCCATCAACATTATAAAATGCGGCAAAAACTCAAGTAAAACTGAGTTTCTCACTTTGGATGCACACACAAACCTACTGTGAGGACTAGGGGCTTGGCACAAAGCACAGAATAAGGCAGCACAAAGACTTGTAGGCATGCAACTTAAAACATCCTGTGATAACACACACAGTTATGCCATGAAGAATGAAATACTCAACTTTTAGAAAGGATTACCTTGCTAGACAAGGTTGCTTTGAGCTATTTCCTCAGTCCACCTAGGGTGCTTTTGTCATTGTTGCTGTGTTTTTCTTTTGTGCACTATGTAGGTATCTCTGGAAAGCTCAAGAAACACTGACTTAGGAAAAGAAATAAGAAATTACCAGAAAGTGGTCACCCTTCTTTGCCAGGTACAGTTTTGGTGTAAATGGCGAGGGGAGAATTTAAGATGCAAAGAGGGCAAAAGAGGGGGTTGCAGAATGAAGGTGAAGAATAAACTCTGTGTATTTTCAGTTAAAAAAAAAAAAAAAAAAAAAAAAAAAAAAAACAGTGAGCCATAGCATGCAGGTGGGAGTTGCCAGGATGTTAGGAGCTAACTAAGTTCATCTATAAGCTGAAGTTAGGAAGCAGTGAGGAGAAACAGGAGTCAAGTATGAAAAAGAATACAACCAAACAGCAATATGTTACAAGATAAAATAATGGATCAAGAAGCCAAGAGGAGTTACCTCAAAGAGTTTAGTCCTCTAAAGCTACAGGAATTTTAGCTCCCACAGAGACCTTGTCTGACCTGTTCTAGTACAAAGCTCGACACACACATGATCTGGGTAAGTACCTGATGAATGATGATTACAATGAAACATAACCGCCACTATGCAATTATGACTCTGATTCAATATCTGAAAACCTATTTAAAAAAACTTCTTACATTGTGTTATCCTTTGATTCTTCAAAGGCATTTAGTTCACGGATGAGAAACTGTCTGTCCAGTGGATCTACAGGTTGACCAGCTTCTGGGAAGGAAAAATTCATGAGAACACTGAGTCTATTATCTAAAAAATAAATATGACTTTGATAACAACCATACTTGTCAGTTATACACATTTTTCAGGTTTTCAAAAAATGATGACAGCACATACTCAGCCAGATACAACCGTATGTGATTTTATAATTTCAAAAAACTCATTTTGATAAATGCATAGTTCAATATAGTTTAACATAAATTCACCCCTTGTTTATTTCTTGAGACAGGGTCTCATATTATTGCCCAAGTCTTCCTTGAATTCATGATCCTTCTGCCTCAGCTTCAAAGGGCAGACATATGTGACCACTCCTGGCTCATAAATTCACTTTTTAAATTCCCCAATTTTTTGTTGTAAAAATACTGTTCCTGTATCTAAACTACAATACTGGACTTTAGTTTGTTTTCTGAAAAGCAACAAATTAAAACAGCACAGTATTAATCCAGAACAGTATTAATCCATGGAGAAAGTAAATCCATTCGGTGGTGGTAATTTCAACCTGGATACTGGCTATTTTCACATGTACAAACAAAAACTTTTATGTATCAGGCTCACATCTGTAATTTCACTTCTTACTTGGAAGGCTGCAGCGGGAGAATCATGAGCTTGAAGCCAGCCTGGTCTATTCATTGAGATCCTGTCTTAAGTTCTGAGCTCAATTCCTAGTACCGGGGCGGGGGGTGGGGGGAGAAAGAAAAAAAACAAAAGAAAAGCCTTGTATGCAAACATGTATGGTGGCTAGGCACGGTGCAGTCTGCAATCCCAGTACTTGGGAGGCTGAGGCAAGAGGATCACTGTATGCTTGAGGCCAACCTGGGCTACATAGTGAGTTCAAGGCCAGCCTGAATGCCAAAGTGAGATCCTGCCTCAAAAAAACCAAACCAAAACAAAAAATATTTTGATGACTTGATTTGTAGATCTGTAATTGCCAAAATCTAGAAAGAATTCAAATGCCTATCAATTGATAGTAAAGAAACTGGCATACTCAAACTATTTTCCCATAAATAATGCTATTCATAGAAGAAAGAACAAATGTCAGTGAATCTCAAATAGATCATGCTAAGTGAAAGTCAAAAGGTGACTCACACCCCATACAATTCAATCTACCTTCTGGAAAAGGCAAAGGATAACAGAATAGCAGATCAGTAACATGCCAGAGTAGGAGACGAAGAAGCTGACCACAAAAGGTCACAGAGAATCTTTTGAAGTGACAGAAATGTTATGTATCATAACTGAAACTATGGTGTTATACAATTAGATGCCATCAACAAAATCCATACAACTGTATACTAAAAAAAGTAAATTTTATTACAGTTTTTAAAAAAGATGAATATTTAATGTGAAATGACTTGTCATTATGCTTCATTGTAAGGAAGTCTAAATCAAAGACAATCGACAATAATCGATTATTTTCAAACAGTGCTTTCTTTGAGTGTGAGTAGCATCACAGTTATCTATCATGGAAGAAAGTAGAAATACGGACACTGAACATCCTTGGATCAAAAAATCAGCAGTCTTTATGAAAGTTAAGATGAATGCTTAATAAAGCCTCATGATAACTTGTTCAAGCTACAAAAAGAATCCACATGATTTTATGTTCTAGTCACACACGCACATCACTATTTGGTAATGAAACTAGATTTCTTAGCTACATATGTACAGTGAACTGGGGGGAGGAGAAACCAGATTTTGTCTCAGGAGATCAACAATGATCACTTACCTGCTATGAGGACAGATGCTGTGTACTTATATTTGTTGAATTCCAAATATTCTCGAATTAATTCATTAATTAAAAGGTTTTCATGTGACAATGGTGGTCGAGGTTCACGATCATCATCCAGGGCATTGAATACTTCAGCTCGGATCCTTGCTTTTAAATGCCCAAGTACCCCCTTCTTTTCCAAGGTGTCCTTTAAAACTGTTAAATAGAACACATTAATGTTTCAGTTTTATAATAAATTTTGTCATTCCCAGGCATGCTCTCAAGAAAAACATGTAAAAGGTAAGTGGCACAAATGTAGTTCGAGATCTAAACACTGACAAACTGAACAATGACATCAAGAAAAAAATAAAGTGTTCAAGGCATATTGACTTATTAATATAGCTGAACAGATTATCTCATACAGCAGTGATGGTGAGCCTTTTCAAGCTTTCAGTGTTAACAAACAGCTAACTGCAGCATGCATGTCAAGGTTCGCCACCACTGCCATACAGCCTCATCACTGTCAGGGATTATAATCTGCTACATAATCTTAGTGAGGAATAAAAGAGGGAACAGCATTATAGTCAGCTTACCAGGACCTAAGCTAACCCCACATCTGTCATATTTTCAAGTGTGTTTGTCATTACAGATGGGCTGAAAGTGTCAATAACCATCTCTGCTCCAGAAAGATTAATCACTACACTCCAAAAGACAAAGTAGCATGCCATATTTTTAGCACAAAAACCAATTATATTTACAACCCTAATGGAATAAACCATTCTAAATGAAGTATTTGTATTTAATTTTTATTTAAAGATAATTACAAGTTCAGCAGAATCTTTAGGGGGTGGTCTGAGATAGGGTCTTGCTATGTGGTTCAGGCTGGCCTTGAACAGATCAAGTTGCCCAGGGTGACTCCAAACCTGAGGCTGTCTTCCTGCCTCGGGGTCATGAGTACTGTTTCACAGCTGGCAGGATTTTGACACTGTTAAGCCTTGTTAGAAACCTAACATAGGACTATATAACAGCTAACTTAAAGAGTCATGGATGTACTATATATGCTAAATATAACCTAACTTCTTGATAAGCAGGATCACCTTTATAATAATGAGATAATGGGACTCAGCTATACTTAATATAGATAATGAGATAATTCAGCTTGGAGCTGAATTGGTACCATCTACTGCAGTGGCCTGGAACACTTTTTAGTCCTTAATGGCTAAACGACAATGTCAGAGAACACATCTCATCTGCAGTGCCTGTAATATACCAAAAGCTCAATAGATTTTACCTAAGAGCACTGTAATACAGTGCTGTATACTGCCTGTGAAATTGGTTGTTTATTACTATACCATGTCCTGCCAGAGACACCAAAATCAGTGCACCACGATAATAACAATTCATGGAGAGTTTCTCCATGGAGACACGGACATCAATTTGCTTTGAAAAAATAACAAGATTCCTTTGACATATGATTAAAGGAGTGTAATCTTTACTAGACACTTCATTGCTTCTTTCCACTTATTGTTAAATCATTCCGCCAACCTTTTGCAGAGTTATTAAGTACAGGTATCAACCAATCAGACTTTGAAAGAAGCCCCTAAAAGGAAAGCAAAGCCTTGTCACACTAAGGTCATAACCGAAGCCCCATTCGTTATCTCTGGAACTCAGATGGACTGGAATTTTTCCCCATTGGCAAGGATTCTGTCCTGACTACTCTGTAGTCTACACAATAGAGCTTCACACTCAGCAGGGAAATGAGCTAGTGAAGCTGGAATTAGGAAGTCTAGCATGTAAACCACGCCTCAGCAGTCTTCTCCACCTTTCAGACATAGAACCAGGTGAGGTGGAGAATGTGAAAAGTGCTTTAAAAAGGTTAAGGTCCCCAAAATGCAAGATGATTGGTTAACTAAAAAGTTGTCTTTCAGTTTTTTGTGGGCATAAAGCAGATGGACAGCTGGGGAATGCAGGAAAAAAATATAAAGGGCCTCCTAAGTCTGTGCAGGGGATCCCTAAACCTCAGGAGTTATGTGCCTCTTGAGGTTTCATATTATTTTAACCCTTGCACTTGTCATGCATGAATATTCTCCCATAAAAACTTTTTCAGAAAGACAACCTGGCTTATTGCTGAGTATCTTTAAGCCTTCTGAAACTTTATGCAATATTGTATGTCATGTGTATTTTCCTGAGAGGGTCCAGTGATTCATATGAAGTCTGATCTTGAGGACAGAGGCAAGCCTGTTCCGTGTCTGTTCACCGTGTCTAAAATCAATGGTTACTGAATCATATTCTGAAAGACAACTGTTTTCTCACCAAATCTCTAATTATTGCTTCGATTCTAAGTGCTCTGATTTTATTCACTGGGTAGCAGTACTGTTCAGCAACTAATATCTGGATTTTCATATTCTGCCTCTCCTTAACTTAATTGCTTTGGACAAGCTACGGTACCTCCCACCTTCTCCGTTTTCCAACCTACAAAATGAGCGCTGGGCCGTTTTGTGCAACTAGCTGACAGATGGACTGTGAAGTGCCTGATAACTGTAATTCATATTACTTGCCTGGATGTTTGTTTCAAAGTTAACGTTTACAAGTATTATTAACGACTTCCGTGTAACTATTTACTTTGGGGAAATTTGTCCAAAAACAAAAAACAAAAAACCCTGCGAAGACAAGGAACTCTGCCTCTAGTTTCTCCCGCTGGACAAGCAATAACCTAATCTACTTCACAGGCGTAAGGAGCCAACAAACCAGTTCAGGATTGGGCCCAACACCAGCAATGGTTGTGGAACTGAAATCACAAGCCTGAGTTCAAGCCGGCACCAGCCAGCCTCGTTGTCGCTCCGGGGGGAACCTGCGGGGTGGTCTGTCTGTGACGCCGGGCTCTGAGAGGCTGGGGCAGGATTGGGGCCCAGACAACTCTGCGCGACCTTTTCTCAAAACTACAGATTTCCTACTGAGCTCCTGGGGCGTTGCTCAGTGGGAAAGCCCTGAGTTCAATTCCCCCAGCATCAAAACAACATAGCCACTAGTCAACTACTGTGCGAAGCTCTGTGCAGCGGCTGTGATACCTGCCAGATGCATCGCACAGGCACTGATACCGCAGAACGAGCTCTGCAACACCACCCCGGGCTCTGTGTTTTCTCCTTGGGGGCCAATGTTTTGCAGACAGAAAAATCAAAGCTTCCCACCCAGCTTCCACTCACCAGCCTTTAGCTCAGCGACAGTCGCCATTTTTAACGGCCGCTTGGGGCGCGTCTTAGCCTTGCGCACGCGCAGTCCACCTCGTTCTGCGTGATCTAGAGCCAATGGGCCCACAGATCTCATCGTGCCCCATCCCGCCTCTTTTAATTTATGCTTTCTGCAATTGGACGGATAGTGACTAGTCACGGAGAATCCACCAATAAGCAAGCGGTGTAGGCGGGACTTACTGAAGTTGGAAGGTGGGAAAGCCTAAACATAGTTCAAAACCTTTTTAGTGTGCGCGCAGGTGGAACCCTAGAGCTCAGTGGTAACCAGCTGAACCTTTCATCGTCTGCCAGCTGCCTGTCTCTGAGCTTCAGGAGTGTTCAGCCTGTGAATTTCAAACTACAGCATGCATCAATATCTTGTTAAAATAGATTGTTGAAAGTCGTAATAAAATTGATCACTGGGTGCCACCATTAGAGTTTCTGATTCAGTAAATCTGAGGTGAGGACGAAGGATTTGCGTTTCTATCCAATTCCCAGACTGGTGTTGATGCTGTTAGAGTGGAGAATCTTTGTATTTAAGTACCAGTAAGTACTATGAGCCTGCCACTGTACCAGATCCTTTATATACTTTAATTCAGTGATCTTCCAATGGTGACACCTTTTTTTCAGAGGCAGAAACTGAGTCCTCTGTAGCTGAAGTCTTCACCAAAATCACTCACAAGTTATAGAGGCAATATCTGAATTCGTGGCTTTCTCTTCAAAACCCTTTCTGTTCTAGTAATGTTTAATACTAGGAAATACACATATGGAGTGCAAGAGCTATTTTTTGAAATAATTGTTGAAGAAAAAAAGCTCTAGCATTCCAAAGAAGCGAAGAAAAATGGATATGACCACCGGCGAGGTGGTGCATATCTGTAATTCCAGTGCTTGGGAGACTGAGGCAGGAAGCTCGCTAGTCCCAGTGCAATAGAGAGATCAAGACGGACCTGGACTACATACTGCTGGTAAGACTCTTTCTCAACCCCCCTGCCCCCAAGTAGTAATGTGCCCAAACTGAGTGGAAAGTTGCATTGACAGGAAAGTTGTAAGACGTGATTAAAAAAGAGGAATCGGACCCAAATTCTAGAATTATGTTCTTTAAAATGTTGGTCAATCCAGAAGTAGAAATCCATTTATCAGTGGATCCCAATGAGCCCATTTTCAATGAAATACAATGTAATGAAGAGAAAAATACAGAATGTTGTTTTTTGAAATTTTTGTTTTAGAAATATGTGTTCTGGCTCCTGAGGTATTTCTCAAAGTGGGTAGTAGTCCAAAAAAAAATTTGAAAGGCATCATCATCTGGAGGAATCAATTCTCCTTCCAACTAGACTGATTTTTTTTTTTTTTAATCCTGTGGGACATAGATCTATCTTACACCCCATCCAGGCAAACCTCTCTTTTCTGTGAAAGTGCAGCACCTGAATGCCTGGTTAGCTTCTCAGGTTAATGCAGATGAACTGAATTCCCATAGGTGGAATGTTTAAGCTCTCCAGAGATCACACCACTGGATACAATGATGAGCACAAAGAGCAAAGAATAGTGCTATTGATTAGTACAGTGGTCAGGCAATAATTAGCATCCATTGCTATATACAGTAGGTCCTGTGCTGAAGCTTTACAGTAAACACTCATCAAAAATCTTATGAGGTATGTACTCATGTGGCCATTGTCTAAAGTATATTTTTCTTTAAAAACATGCATTTCAGACATAGTCTCAGATGTAGTCCTGGTTATTCAGGAGGCTGAGGCAGGTAGACTGCTTGAACTCAGGAATTTGGGGTTAAGTCAACCTTTCAAATCCTTTAGCCCATTAATTCTAGTTCTAAGCATGTATATAACCGATATACTCACCCCCAGAATAAAGGATATGTTACAAATATACTTACTGTAGCAGTGTTTGTGCTAGGCAAAAACTATATATAATTATCAGAAAAGCTAAAACAAAGGCAACTGATAATACTAACTGTTGGTAAGTATTCATGTGTTGCTGACAGGAAAATGGGGCAGAGTCACTTTGGAAACTATTTGACAATTATTTGTGAAGTAACACATTCATTTACATATAATCAAAAATCCCAGTCCTAAGAGTTTACCCAAGAAAGATAAAAATTCATGTCCACACAAAAGCCAGTACCCAGTAACAGCAGATGTATTCCTAATTGCCCCAAATTGGAAACAATTCAAATGTCTTACAATTGGTGAGTGGATAAACTGGCATTTCTGTACTTTAGAGTAGCACTTAGTAATAAAATGAATCAACCACTAAGACAGCACAATGTCTTCGAGTCTCACACATGTTGTGCTTGATGAAAGAAACCATGTTCGAGGTGGGCACAGAGGGGGCACACCTGTAATCCCAGGTACTCAGCAGCCTGAGGCAGGAGGTTCTAAGTTCAAGGTCAGTGCAGGCAACTTGGTGAAACCCTGTCTCAAAATTGTGGTCCCTAGGTCTTTTCTCAGTACTGAAAAAAGAAAAAGAGGAAGAGGATGAAGAAGGAGGAGGAGGAAGGGAGGAGGGAGACTTGGGAGTGATGGAGAAAGATAAAAGAGAAGGGGAAGAGGAGGAGAATAAGGAAAAGGGAGAAGCAAGCAAGCAAGCAAACAGGTTTAACAACCTACATCCTATATTATATTTTAGAAAAGGCAAAGTATCAGGACAGAAAATTGATTCATGGTTGCCAGATGCTCAAGATGAGCAAAAGGATTATCTACCAAGATGTACTAAGGAACTTTTTGTAATGGAACTTTCTGTGTCTTATTTGCTGAAATTCAAAGTGAATTAAAAGGTTGTTTTTCACCCATGTGCTGAAGATTGAACTCAGAGCCTCCTACATCTAGACCAGCTTTACCACTGAGCTACACTGGCAACCCCAAAAGAATGGTCTTTATTTCAGGTATACCTCAATCAACTTGACTTTAAAAACAAACAAACAAACTCTGAAAATACCAGTATCATCAGTTCAGGGACTGGGTTAGTAGATTGTGGTACAAGTTCAAGAGAAATACTATGTAACTCTTCCAAAGAAGGAGTTCTGAAAATACACATATGTAATTTCATCATGATACCAACGCAGAATTTTAAAAAACATAGTTTGGTAGGAATTGTGCAGTATGTCACCAACATCCCTGTACCCTAAAATCAATGAAAATGGCATGTACTGCAAACATGTACTAATACAAAAATAATAGAATTATTCGTTTGCCTGTACAAGGGACCCAGATACCTCTGAAAAGACACACAGGAAAATACAATCAAAACAGGCCCCAGGAAGGAGGTCTAGGTGATTAAGGGCAACCTTACTTTTGTCCCTAGATCAGCTTGATTAATACTTTATTTTATATTAAATAGGATTAAGAGGATTAAAACCAGGACCCTCTACCACTGAACTGTATTACATCCCTAACCCTTTTTTCAGGCTTTTATTTTGAGACATAGTCTTGCTAAGTGTTAAGCTTCCTAGGCTGGGCTCAAATTTTTGATCCTGTTGCCTTAGTATCCTAGAGTGCTGGCTTTACAGGTATTTTTAAAAAATTTTATTTAAGGAGAAAAAGAAAAAAAAGCAGAAAAAGGGTACAAGTTATACAAAATTTCAGAGAAAAAAAATAAACAGTAGGAAATCGCTAGTTAATGGATTACATATTGTCATCTTAGAAATATTTGTTCAGGTTACAAAATTAAAGCATATAAAGTGGGCATTCAAACAGTGAGACTGCAAACAGTTCTGTTCAATGATCCAACAAAACTCAGTAATATCATTGTCTATCTTATACACTTAAATATACCTGCAGTTATATCATTTAGAGCACTTTCTTTTCCTCTCTTTTGTACAATGACTATTACACATTTTGGGTTTTATTACTCCCACAGTTCTTATTACTTTTTTGGAAGAGAGTAAAACCAAATGTGACATAACAGAACAGAGTCGGTCAAATCAAAAGGGTGGACATAGTACATAATGTAAAAACATAATACAAGGTGATCAACAATGGTTACCACAATGCCTCCTGCTATCTCAAATAGAATTGCCTATATCATCAGTTATAATAAAATTGAACAAAACAGTAAAGAACGAAACCAACAAAACCAAAACATTGGAGACATTACAGGTCTTCAAAAGTAGATAATAGTCAACCAGAATGGGCGTCATAATGAATCCCACTATCTTCATAGCTGTTGCCTAAACTTTCAAACCTGGTACTATCAAGCAAAACAGAATAGAGGAACATCAGTCAAAACAAGATAGTGAGAGCAATACAGGGCTTCAAATCAAATTAATAGAAAATCAGAGTGTGTTACTATAATATATCCTGCTATTTTTAAATTTATTTTTCCCTTAATTAAAAGGATAAAAATAAAGTAAATAATAAAATGGAGATTGAGATAAAAGAGGGCACCACTATCCCATCCCCTTTTTTTCTTGAGACAGCTTCTCCCTAGGTTGCCCCGGCTGGCCTCGAATTTGTGATCTCCTACCTAACCTCCCAAATAGCAGAGATTACCAGGATGCTCCGCGGTCCCCAGCCTTTAATTTAAATTTTTGTTTATGTACACACATAACCAGCTGTGTGACGGTGCAGCTCAACAGCGCCTCCGCTGGGCTGCCTTTAGTATTGCTTACTAATTGTCCCGCATTCCGCTAGCTGCCAGGGGAAGTCCTCTCTACCATGGGAACACACTCATTTCTAGAGATGCGAGGGAGTAGTGAGGGCTGGGAGCCGGTGAATGGCCCAGGGACATTTCCACGGCAACTCTACACAGTCCCAAGAGGGGATACAATGAAACTGCGCCCCACTGCCTAGAGTGGTACGCAGCTCAACCTTCACCGTGGTTGTTTGCCTGCTTCCCCACGACACTCTTCCCAGCACCTCCACACCAGTATCCTGCAGGTCTTCCCAAAACAAACTACTTGCATTAAGCCCTGATCTCAGGCTTTGTTTTTTGGGTTAAACCAGCCCAGGACACTTGCTTTGCTAAAGTGGATTCACTGGGGACAGTTTCCCCAAAGATATCAGAACCCAAGGATGCTCAGATCTGTTATATAACACGGCACAGTAAAACCTGTACACATCCTCTACTTTAAATCCCTTCTGGATTAC